CGCTCGTCAGGATTATCATGTTTGCACCAGTCTTATATTTTGTCATCCGTTGACGTCACGTAACACCAAATTTTGTATATGTGGAGCTAGCAGAACAGCCGCGAGCGCATCATAAAGGGCCCAATATACTTCAATGTGGCATGGACGCGCGCGCGCGCTGGGCACAGTGACGCTACGTTCGCAAAACGTGAGCACCCTATAGTCTGTCGCCCAGCGCGACCGGTGCGAGCAGCGTCCGCCGGCGCGGCCCCACGCCAACCTGCGCGAAATGCGACATGCTGCATTTGGCGCCGATGCATTACCCCGACAACACTGCGTCTCCCCCTTTTTGTGACGGAGGGACGCCGGATGTGCTTAAACGCGCATGCGTCAAAGCAACGCAGCGCGGTGCGCGCCTTCGGGTATATGGCAGGACCGGCGCCTGGCGTGGTAGCGCCGGCGTGAAGCGATGAAATGAACGCCGGCGAGCACGCGCACCGCGTCACGTCGAAATGTATTGGCGCCTTGACTGTGGCATGTAGTCATGTTCTCTGAAGCTAGCGAAACAGCCGCCATCGCGTTTTGAGCGCGGCGTGTAGTCATATCATTACATGACACGCATCTCATGATAATCTTGTTCGCACCATCCACATACCTTTGTCAATCATTCACGTACCGTAATATCAAATTATGTATATGTGACGCTACGAAACGGCCGCGAGCGCATCATGAGCGTGACATGTAATCTTGTTGTTACATGACACGCATGTCATGCTTTTCATGTTTGGGTCTGTCGCTTGTGTTCGCCATGCGATAATGTCATACCATACCAGCTTTGCAACATGCCATGTGAACTAAGCCACCTCAAGTGCTGCAGGACCATGAAATGTAAATAATGACATTCATGACATGCATGTTGTATTTTTATGTTGAGACTAGTCAAATATGTTCTTCATACAGTCATGTTATGTCATACAAGTTTGGTATCGATACCATTGTCGAAACGGCCAGGAGAGCTAAATGTCGCAGGCGGCTAGATAGATAGATAGATAGATAGATAGATAGATAGATAGATAGATAGATAGATAGATAGATAGATAGATAGATACGCTCAAAGTTGTCGAAGTTCGCTAAGAAATGCTTCGCATTAAAAAAAAATTGGCCCCGTATCGGCGTGTTTCACTAAAAATGTCGTCCAAATACGATAATATTGCGTCTGGAAAGAGTGAACAATACGTTTATTTCATGTTCTGTGCAAAAAAATTGGTGTATCGTATTCTGGAGCCACTCCGTTAGAGTGGCTCGATCCGTACAGGGAATGCGAACGAGCGCATCGAGGAACGTGAGGCGCGACCGCAATCTGGCAGTTATATTCGAAAACGAAGGATGGCGTGCGCGCCTATCTCGGAGGCGATAAGGTTTAGAACTCAAAGTGACGGATAGGTGCCACCACCGTATCTTCTTAGCAAAGCGTTGGAAACACTTGCCCTTTCGTGAATAGCGTTGGATAGTCAGCGCAGCGTGATAAACACTAGGGTCCATATTATTGCTTATGAATGCCTTCTCTAATGTAAACAGACACGCCACGGAATACCGACGTGTTGCTATTGCGCCTCAGAAACGCGCAATCATTGCCGTTCAATTGAAAATCGCACAAGTATGAGCGCTGAAGCTTTAGCAGTATTAGTGGGGGCTGCGGATGGGTTTGTATTTCAACCGTTACGGGTGTCGTTTTGGGGGACAAACACCCAAATGTACAGACAGAGGACAGACAGGCAGACAGATCAAAATTTTTGTGTCGAAGTACCTCAAGAAATACGATCGTCTTTTAAGTCTGTGTACAGGTCACTTCGACTCTTTGGCGCACTGTATACAGGGTTTTCAAGAAAGCTGTTCAATATTTTTTTAGGAATAAGCAGAAGACGATATTTGCTTGTTGTCTTAACAGTTGCTTTTTTTGAAGTTGCAGATGTGAGGTTGAATACATCGTTTTGAATGGTTATTAGGAAAGTTATGTTAATTACCTTTCTAATTAGTAGAATTCGGCAGTTAAGTCAAAAGGGAGAATGAAAATTCTTGATGTGCAAAACCCATTGCCGCTTTGAGTTTACAGAGAAGCGGCCTCTTGTAATAGCTATGAATTGATGAATGTTTCGTTAGTTCTGCGGCGAAACAGAAACCAACGGACAACAGAGCGCAACAAGCAGACAACTACATTGACGTCACTGTTCAAAACAGTGGTTACAGGGCTGAAGTTATTCCCCGTTTGATAATGTACGTGCGTCATGCGTGCTGTAATTGCGAGTGCAGCCCACATACACAACAAGGTCGGTTGATCGTTGACATAAAAAAGCTCCCTAATTGGAGTTACGCTCTTTCACGTTTCGGTTTCGCCGCTGTCTTGGCGACAACTTCATTATTTCGCAGTTAAAACTAGAGGTTGTTGTTTCGAAATCTCTAAGTGGCAATTCGTTTTTTTTTGCATGAAGGACTTTAATTATCCATTTTGACTAAACTCCCTAACTCCACTAAATAAAATTGTATTATACTAAATTACCTAATTACCGTCACACATAACATCCTCGACCCTCTTAAGATGCCCGCCACTATAAAAAGCAACTGTTAGGACAGCGAGGAAATAGCACCGTTCCCCGATTTTCTAAGAATATTGGACACAATTGTTGAAACAGCCTGTATATGGCTTTTGTTGGCTTGAAGAAGGTTCATCGAGGTGCAAATAAGGTACGGTGCTGCCAGCATGGGCGTGTAAGTATTTTGAAATGTTTAAGACTCAAGTCTTCTGTAAAAAGAACAGATCTAGAGTTTTGGCGGCACGTGTTCTTCCGGCCGCCATCATGTGTCGTTTTTCCTCATTTCTGATTGCTGTTTTCGTGTTTTGTTTTCGTCTTCTGTCTGTGAGGAGACGCTCGGTGGAGTTTGTCACTGACAGTCGTCTCGTCCGTGATGTTCTCTCTTCGACGACTGCTCACCGATCGGAGCCACGTCGACGTATTTCTCCATCTGTCACTCAATTTTTTATTTTGCTCTGAAACTTCTATATTTTTCTTTCGATTCTTTTCTTTCTGAGCTACTGCTGAAGTGTCGCACTTGCATGCAGGCAACTGCTGGGTGCTTTTTTTTCATTTTTTTCTATTTAGGATTCACTGCACCCTTCCCCAAGCACTTCTATGAAGACGTCGGGCGTTATAAGAGAATGAAACCAGCATACGTGTCTATGAACGGGTCTATCAAAAGGAGCTATGTTCTAGCACATGTCAAGTCTAATGTCAACGTAGATGGCATCCGTGCGTGTTGCTGTTGTTCAGGTGCTGTTACTTTCATGCGTTTAAATGAGTATTTCAGGATGGGTTACGTTCGTAAATCCGCGGTGAGTAGCCGGTCATGGCGTGCCTTTAACAGCCAGAGGATGTGCTTGGTTGCCAGGAAATGCCGGCGGTTCACACCAAAAGCAAAATTTGAGGAGACTTTTCAGCTCGGAAGTTCCTTCAGTGGTGTTGGCCAGTTCCTATTGTGAAATTAGGTACCCACTTTTTTTTTACGTGAAAAATCGTTGTCGCGCGGAAAATATTTAACACTAAACATTCGTATCAGGTGAGTGTGTACAGTAACGCTTTGTTGAAGAAAAGGTGGTTGAATATAATCAGACGGTCTCTCTCTCTCTCTCTCTCTCTCTCTCTCTCTCTCTCTCTCTCTCTATATATATATATATATATATATATATATATATATATATGACTGTCACTCCTACTTCTAAATTCACATATAAACCCAAAAAAAGTGGAGGGAGGGTAGGCAGCTGTGGTACCTCAGTGGTTAGAGCATCGAACGCGTTATTCGAAGGTCGTAGGTTCGATTCCTGCGCACGGCTGGTTATTTTTAATCCACTTTTCTTTCTTCTTATTTACATTCCATTGGTTCTAATAACTTCCCCTGTACATTACTTGGCATTACTGTCTGTTAGATCTCATTATTATTGTGGTACAACACGGAAAAACGAGCCCTTAGGTATACAATTCTTTCCCTTATTTCATTATACGAGGGTCTCGCACTGGCAGACTTGGTGTCATTAGGTTGTATACGAGGGACTATTAATCAGCTGCCCGCTCATAATAAGTTCACGTGCTACGTGTCGCCAAACATGCGCATAAAAAGAGTGTTTTCACACTCGTCGCTTGGCTTATAGATGGCGCTGTCACTCCTACTTCTAAATTCACATATAAACCCAAAAAAGTAGATGTAAGGAAGGCCGCTGTGGTAGCTCAGTGGTTAGAGCATCGAACGCGTTATTCGAAGGCTGTAGGTTCGATTCCTGCTCACGGCTGGTTATTTTTTCATCCACTTTTCTTTCTCCTTATTTACATTCCATTGGTTCTAATAACTTCCCCTGTACATTACTTGGCATTACTGTCTGTTAGATCTCATTAATATTGTGTTAAAACACGAAAAAACTAGCCCTTAGGTATACACTTCTTTCCCTTATATATATATATATATATATATATATATATATATATATATATATATATATATATATATATATGCCCGTGTGTGTATGTGTGTGTCGGCCATTCACGTAATCTCGAATCACCTCTTTGGGATCCTTACTCCAGTTGACAGTAGTTTTAGGGGAAACAAACGTATTGTTATGGTCCAGCACCTCACCACTAGTGATGGGAAAATCAACAGCCTGGTGATTGCCTTGTCGACGGGGCAGTCAACCTCATATTTCTTTTTGTTGGACAAGACGTAGGAAAGAGGTGTGTGGCACCTCTGTGTAGGATCCTACAACAATGGCGTTTCTTGTAGTAAAGAAGCTTTTGCTTGTCAGTTTATTCTATGCCTGTAGCACTTTAGTTTCAGTACGTTCGCAAAATTGGCATTAAGCAGACAGACGCATTGATCTATGTTATGGTTCAAGAAGACGTTTCCCTCAAGAATTATATTTCGGAAACAACACCGATCGAAGCTATATAATCACAACCACAACCAACTTCTTTTTACGAGAGGCATCATTTATTTGCCAACAATATGTAACACTATGCACAGTTGAGCGCACGCTCTGGAGAATCTTCTTGTTGCCTTCGACGTACCACGTCCTTAGCAGAAAAGAGCAGTTTCTGCAAAAAGAAAGGAACGCGCATGATCGATCAAGTTTAGTGTCAGTAAACGCAACACTCAGCAATGATGCAAACTTTATATACTTACACTTCTTCCTGCGGAGAAGGGCGTTCCATTCGGAAGGAGTACCGAGACCATAGGCGTAGTTCAGGCCATAGACACCAATGCCGTGGCCGAGACCATAGTTGGGAGCGCTGTAGCCAAAGACTGGAGCGGCGTGGTAAGTAGCGACGGCTGGGACAGCGTGGACGACAGTGGCAACGGCTGGGGCTTGGTGGACAGTGGTGGTTGCAACAGCTGGAACAGTGTGGACAGTAGCGACAGCTGGGGCTTGGTGGACAGTGGTGGTTGCAACAGCTGGAACAGCGTGAACAGTGGCGACGGCTGGGGCAGCCTGAACGGTAGCCACGGCTGGGGCAGCCTGAACGGTAGCCACGGCTGGGGCAGCAGCAACTGGGGCAGCGTGAGAGACAGTGGCCACAGCTGGAGCAGCAGCCGCGACTGGGACAGTGTGGAAAACCTTGGTCACGGCTGGGGCAGCAGCGACGACTGGTGCAGACTGGATGACCTTGGTCACTGCTGGGGTGGGATAGGCGGCGACAGCTGGAGCCGCCTGGATGGTAGAGACGTGGGCTACGGCTGGAGCGGCGGCAACGGTAGCAACAGCTGGGGCGGCAGCCACAACTGGAGCACTCTGGTAGACCTTAGTCACTGTTGGGGCAGGCTGGTAGGTGACGCGGGAGACAGCTGGGGCAGCAGCCACAACAGGGGCAGCGGCCACAACAGGGGCAGGCTGGATGGTAGAGACGTGGGTTACGGCTGGAGCAGCGGCAACGGTAGCAACAGCTGGGGCGGCAGCCACAACTGGAGCACTCTGGTAGACCTTGGTCACTGTTGGGGCAGGCTGGTAGGTGACGTGGGAGACAGCTGGGGCAGCGGCAACAACGGGGGCAGCCTGGACGACCTTGGTCACTGCTGGGGCGGTGAAGGTAGCGACAGCTTGAGCAGGCTGGTAGGTGACTCGTTGCACAGCTGGGGCAGAAGCGACAACTGGAGCAGCCTGGTAGACCTTAGTCACGGTTGGGGCCGCCTGGTAGGTGACATGGGAAACAGCTGGGGCAGCAGCAACGACTGGAGCGGGCTGGTAGGTGGCCACGCGGGAGACAGCGGGAGCAGCAGCAACGGTGGTGACGGCTGGGGCCGGGGCGACAATTCGGGCGGGCTGGTAGGTGGTCACGCGGGAGACGGCTGGGGCAGCGGCAACCGTGGCGACTGGAGCAGCGGCGTAGGTAGCGACAGCTGGAGCGGCGACAGCGTAGCTGGCAGCTGGTCCATATGCTAGGCCGTGGCCGACACCAAAGCCGGTGAGGCCAGAGTAGCCGATTCCATGGCCTAGACCATAGCTGGCAAGACCAGCACCACTGCCGAGGCCGACACCACTGCCGAGGCCAGCACCACCGAAGAGACTGTGGCCACCATTGATGAATCCAGCCAGAGTACTGGAAGCGAGTGCCAGGACGACGCAGACGCGGAACTACAAAAAGCAAAAGTTGACATAAACATCTCTTGTAAATATTCTGCTTGGCGTGAATGGGATGAATATAGGTTGCCGATGATTGATATCTATTTGCTTTTATAGCCACTGAAACGCTGTGTTATATTCAATAGGTATTAGCCACAGAAGTAATTGTGGGAAGTTTTCACTTTCAACTCACCTACAAGGATTTACGAACATTGGAAAGTATGATGTGTGATTCCGTGAACCTTGTTGAAAATTGAGCAGATTTAATGAAACTATTGAGCGCAACTTATAGTGCTCAAATCAAGACAGATATCGAAGATCGAAAACAAGAATACAATATAGTAAATATCATTAGGCAGGTTGTTCAAGGTATGGAACACATCCCTGCCGTTGTGGTCTAGTGGCCGAGGCACTCGGCTGCTGACCTAGAGGTCGTGGAATCACACCTCGGCTACTGCAGCTGCATTTTCAATGGAAGTAAAAATGCTCAAAGTCCGTGTGCTCTAATTTGGGTGCACGTTAAATAACGCAAGGTGCTCGAAATTACCGAATCCCTCCACTTCGGCATCTCTCATAAACATATGTTGGTTTTGGGACCTTACACCCTAGATACCATACCGAGATATAGAAGACATATAGAGGTAGAAGAAATAGCAAAACTAGTATAAAAAGTAAATGCAGAACTTCATATTTTTGCAAGCACGTTTGAAGAAATACAGTGCTGATCATTGAAATAAAAACACTAAAAAATAAGAAGGAAAGCACATCTTTACAAGCGTCCAAACTATTTTTTTTGTGTGCGGACAGGAAAAGATATACGCAGAACCTCTGTATTGTGGAAAAAAACTTTGCATGTGAATTACTGCCTTAACAGTTATAGAGCAAATCTGAGTGTTTCAGAGAGAAAATGATTAGAGAAGACACTTAATTTTATTGAATTATCGTTGGGAAACGGGCGTAGTTACCCTAAAAAGATCTTACGTGCAAGAGCATGTTGCAGTTTAAAAAGATGACCAATGTGCACGGCTACAAGATTGCCACACCTTATTTGGCACGCGCTGAATGACGAACTAGAGTCAACATTTCCTGAAGAAGGCTCAAATACCTTTCATGCTTTTGTGTTTGCAGTAGGTTGAGAGACTACTTGAAGTAACGTATGCTAGATGCATGAGGGTAGTAAGACCATAACTGATCCAGTTTGTTGGCGCTATGTCGGTAATCTATCGTGTTAAACGAGGCGGAGGGGGTGCAATATTTTTTCTACTGTTTGTACAGCCTGGTTTGTATACTAGAATTTGTGATTTATACCTTTTTATGTATATCTAGGCTTATTCTTGATGTGCCTTAAAACAAAATGTTGAATATTGCGTATCATTGCGGTGATTTCGGATGCGTTGATTACCGAAATATGCGAAGCCGTGATCTCCATACTCAATAGGCAAATATGAATATGGCCTTTATATATTGGGGCTAAGAGCGGGCATGGTGCAGGCGAGCTCTGAAGTTATGTTTAAATTCTCTAAAGTGGTCGCGGGCTCTAAGGTGAAGGCAGGTAGGGCTTACCATGGTTGCTGCTGTAGTACCGTTGGCAAACCAAGAGCTGCTGAAGTGGCACAGAGTGCGATTTCTTTTTATACTCCCAATGTGGAGGAGTGAGAAAGAAAACGGAAAGGATGTGATGATAGTGAGGGAAGGAACAGTAACATATATTTTGCTGTTAATCAGAATTTCATTCTAACCTCGGGCGCATTTAGAGCCTGAGATCCGGTTGAGGGTGGTCTTAGCGTTTTAAGCGTCGAAAATGACGCAGGAGGGCTTAATTTGTTGAGTAATATTTTTCCAATCTTGGGAAGTTCCTTCTGCAGAGATGATAACGGTAGTGCCACTAAAGCTGAGTTATCTTTTTATTCTTTACCTTCCCTTTCCTGCCCAATGTAGGCCGAAGCAATTGCGCAAGACACCGAAGCCAAAGGTGAGAAAGGGAGGAATGTAAGGGCGTTATTACGCGCAATGTTGTAATGTTAAAGCCGCTTTAACGGGGACAGGTATTCGAACCCTCAGGCGTCATTTATCCCAAAGAAAATTAGAGTGCGAATACATCCTTGCGTTATGCACAGATGCTATTCGATTCTCTTCAGTTTTGTGCCCTTCTATTTACAAGCACGCATGTTGATTCCGAACGGTTAGTGAAGAAGGAGCGAGAGAGTTGTTATATTCAATTTGTTACACACACTTAAAATCACTTCCCGGCAACCGGTTTACGAAGCTATGTGTCGTTCAATTTGGTATTGCGGAAACGTGTTTGGAATCATATTTACTGCTAGATTCAAGAGCATAACTAGCGGTGAAAAGCCCTTTTTATTTTTAATTCTTTTACCCCTAAAAAACGAGTTGTTGAAATTAGGAGTGAACTTCGCGGAGCGTGTACAGAAACGTGAGATACTGCGCTTGAGAAATTCGTAATACATCTTTCAACGCGGCATCTCTCGATACACTTCATTCGTTTTAGAAGGCAGTGATAAAACGTGTTCAAGCCGTTCCTGTCATCTGAGCCACCATTTTTTCCCGTCGGTTTGATTCAATTGCTGGCTTTTTTCATCCTCTCCGCTTATTCGATGTGTTTGGTTTAAACCTAACCAATACTGACATCAAATGCATTGACGTGAGTACTGCCGATTTATGAAAAAATATGTTAGCGTTGAATATCGGACTGTATATAAGTTTCAATGCAGGAAATTCCTTGTTGCCTGGTTACGCCGAAACAATTATTAGAACACACATGCTAAAAAAATTAAACGTAATAGATGGATTTGTGGGGTTTAACGTCCCAAAACCTCCATATGATTATGATAGATGCCGTAGTGGAGGGCTCTGGATAATGACGTAATAAGTAAAGTTTCACATTGTTTAAGGTGTGGCTGCAGACCCAGAGCTGCTGTGGACTTGTGTACAACACGTAAACTTATTATATTCAGTATGAGCTATTACTCTCTGGAGCAGCTGTTAATTTATTATTAAAAAATGCAGTGGGTTAATAGTTATGACGACTGACCGAAAACTCTCCTGTTAACACTTCTTTAAGCAGTTAATCAAATGTATGTTGTTTGTTTGTTGTAGCACGTTAAAACTATTAAAGTACACACTGAAAACGTATTTTACGTAATGCTGTCAACAAATATTTAAAAGAAATACACCATTTTGCTGAAAGCAATGCTAACTGGGGTAAACAAATGAAATTGTGTAGTCGTTACACGTATAATAAAAGTGCAACGAATGTTGGTTGTGATGTTTTGATGAAGTTTGTCAAGGAAGAAATTGAGAAATATTTGATTGCAGTCTGTGTTCTGTGGAACCTTGTTTTTCTTATTGCATTCTTGGAATATGCTCTTTGCACTATATACAAGTGCAACTGCTTTTGATTTGTATTTGTATTTTTTATAAAAAAGTTTTATGTTATACTGCACTGGAAAAGCGAGGTCTTCGACACGCATTCTAGTCTTTTTAAATAAGAGAAAAATAACGTTTTGTTCAGTGCACTGCATCTTCATGCAAACTTTTCGTAAAACATATTAAAAAAACATGGCAGATTCAAGACGTTAACGAGGATGAATGGGTGAATCAGAGGAGTAATTCAGCGTTACCCTAGATCACCTATGACACTGACTACTCACGAATTTAAATGAGCGAGAAAGCAAAGTACAGTTATGTACAATGTTCATTGGTCATAAACTGTGTGCTGTGTTGTCATGTGAATTTTGTTTAGCCTTCATTATCACTGCGTTGTCGCATCGAATCTAGCCTATCTAGCCTGAAGTCGGCAAAGACAAGGTCTGGTCACGTTTCCCAGGTGTTTATTGTTTTTAGTCATACAAAAATCATCGTAGGGCACATCGAGACGTGATCATCATCGTCATCAGTGCAATCGCCATCGTCATGGCGTATAGTGGGTACCTTTATAAGCTCGGCTTCGGCGAACAACGCCAACACCAGCGTACAACTTTCGACATTGAGGAGCTTCCCCCCCAGAGAGATACCAGACACACAATACGCGACAAACGGATCCTGGATCTCAACACTTGACTTCTATGGAGAAGTCCGCCTCGGTGGATCGGTGGATAAGGTGCTCTGCTGCTGTCTCGAAGTGCGCGGGCTTGATCCTGGCCGCGGAGGTCACATTTCGAGAAGCCACTTGTTAGAGGCTCGTATGCTGCGTGGCGTCAGCGCACGTAAAACATCAGAGGGTAAACATTTCCGGAGCCATCCACAATGGCGTCTCTCAAAATAATTTTGTGGACGTAAAACGCCACATAATAATAATATACTTCTACACAGAGCTGGAGTCACCTTTTTTCTTGAAAGGATGTAGCGGGTTAGTGGATGTCGTGTACGCTGCTCACTTCGTGACGCATATTAGGCGGAGACGAACTCCGAGGCGAATTGTCGCTGCTTTTACCACAAGAGGTTCCGAGGCCGGCCGCCGCGAGCGCTGGCGTCACTGATGCAGACTGACTGCGGAAGCTTCACTGCCGCTGGGAGGCGCTACTCCTCAGCGACGAACTTTTAAGCAGGAAATTGCCAAGGAAAGGATCTATGATAAAACTCGAGGTAGTTTTTTACTGTTTGAGACCAGGACGGGAGTATTGCGAACGAAGACATATCGGAGCGAAATACGAAGGGGTAGACACGGTATGTAGTGCGTGTGGAGAGGAGGAAACCGCCGAATACTTGATAATGTTCTGTTAAGGGCCTCCCTCTATAGTTCAGGATGATGGTGCAGAGTGTTTCAAAGCACTGGAGTTTAGGGACAGGGAGGGCAAAATAGACTTCAAGCGGGTAGAATAACCCAGAAGGAGGTTATCTGATTTGTAACTAAAGTCAAGGCACGAGTAAAAATTAAACCCTTCATTGCAAAGTACGAGTCGTCAACCTCACTATTTAAAGAAAAATAAAATAAACCTTGTTTTTGGTTCACTAAGTATTACGGCTTGGTGGTGTTAGCCACCACCCGATTTAAAGGGTACAACCATATCAATCCATCCATACATCCAGCTTGCTGACCAGCTTTGGGCGGTCCAGCAAGTACAAGATGTTGCCATGTTCCAACCATAGGGTTCCCTAAATATTTATTAGAGAAAACTCTGGCGCTGGTTCCTATGGAATCTGCAACGCATGGCGCTTCAGTGAGCATAAAAATGATGGGTAGTACACAGATTTGTCGAATCTTCGTACTTCTAGCTTCGTGTGGGTTCGTCTGGCTTAGAGCTGTTTTCTCATGAAAAAAATTTGCAAATGTACAGCGCTTGCGCTTTGCCACATTATTCGTTTAGGCTTGCCATTTTAGATCGGGTCATGAAGTTCAAAAAGGTTCGTTCTTTCCTTCGAAACAAAACTGAAGTATACAGCAATGATTGAAGCCGCAAGTACGATTCGCTGCCCAAAAGTGCAAAGACTAAGGAAATCCGTACACTACCCATCATTTTCATGGTTGTTGACAGGGGCAGAGTCCCGTATAGGTAATTTTAGGAAACTCCATGGGTCCGAGTACTTCGAATCGTCACTTGAGGCAACACCATCATCATCGATGAAGGGTGTGACAGGACAGGGCCCCTCTTGCTGCCATCCTCACCCCAAAAAACATACCAAGCTTTTATGAGAATATAAATAAACTGCAGGACTTCAAATTATTTATCCATTCACGCAATATATGGCGAGATATGTTTTAGGCTCGCAACACGCCCCACTTTATTTCGTAAGAGAGAATCTCGAAGGAACGTTTTGGTCATGCATGATTTGCCCTTCCGCAGAGTAACAGTAAAGCATTTGTAGAGACAAACAAGCGCACTCTCGGACACACGAAAACGGCGCAGAAACAAGATACTAAGCTATACATTGTTTGCATTGCACGCACACACTCACCATCGCAATTCAACACACACTCATGTTGGAGACCTCAGTCAGGAAAATACCGTTCTTTCAAAGTGGTAAGGTTTCCTATGGATGCTTCAGCTGCCCGCAACTGTAAATAACGACGGCTTATATATATGAAGATCACTTCAAATAAGGCCATTATTCCACAAAAGTGTGTGCGCTCTTGGTTCTTTCGTGTACAATAACGCTAACCTTTTGATCCTTTAGTGCAGTGAATTTGATAGTATTCATGACAGCGGTCAACTTCTCGATCCGAGTGATCCCAAATAACTGCTGGGTCTGCGTGATCTGCTTAACGGTAGTGAAGACCCTTAAATAATAATAAAAAATTTACCTGAATGTTTTGCTGGTTAGCTATTGTCCTATCTTGTCGTGCAAAAAACAACCACCGATCAACAAGTGACGGTATGTACTCAGTTTGGTTATGTTTAGATTATGTTTATTGATAAGGTATTAGCATTGAGGGGAGTATGAATATCGCAGAAGATATGCTTCCTCAAATTAAAAAAAGGATATTTAGTTTTTACGCTTGAGTTCTCGCCTATGATATTTGCGCAGCTAATCTAGTGAGAAGCTATGGTTTACTGTTTTCTCAAACTTATAAGCAAGACGTTTAATACACTAACGTTCGTGTGGAGAACCCGCAATCGTGTAGCTAATTGTGTGCATGAGTTTTTC